AAAGAAGACAGGCTGGTAAATATGTGTAAGGAATAGGAAATTACAAAATTTGGCTTGACCATTGGTGGGATTATAAACTAGTATAAGCCGCTATAGCAAACAAAACGGAGGACCATCAAAAAATCAAAAACAGAAATACCATATGATCCAACAATTCTGCTTCTGGGAATATATCTAAAGGAAAGAAAAATAACAACTTGCTGCCTTTCTTCTTCTCTCTTAAGTAGGCTTTGCACTCAGCATAGAGGGCAACATGGGGTTTGAACTCACAACTGTGAAATCAAGACCTAAGCTGAGATCAAGAGTCAGACACTTAACTGACTGAGCCACCCAAGTGCCCCCAAAAGCTCTAGCATAAAAACGATTCTCGCAACTGCATGTTCATGGCAGTATTATCTATAACAACCAATTCATGAAGACTACCTAAGTGTTCAATGACAAAGAAGTTGTTATATATAATACATAGCATCTAATAATAATATATAATAGAATAACATAATAATATATGAATATTATTTAGCCATAAAAATGAGGAAATATTGCCATTTGGAACAACATGGATGGACCCTGAGGGCATTATGCTAAGTGAAACAAGTCAAACAAAGGCAAATACTATATGATCTCACTTATATGTGGAACCTAAAACAAACAAACAAACAAAAAAGCCCCAAATCATAGAAAAAGGGATCAGATTTGTGGTTACCAGAGGTAGGAGCTGGGGAGAGGACGATAGGAGAAAGGTGGTCAAAAGGTATAAACTACCAGTTACAAGATAAATAAGTACTTAAGTACACGTAATGGACACCTGGTGACTACAGTTAACCATGTTTTATGATATATATGGAAATTCTTCAAAGAATAAATCCTAAGAGTTCTTATCACAAGGAAAAACTTTTTCCTTTTTTTGCTTTCTCTTTTTATTGTATCTATGTGAGATAACGGATGCTAACTAAGCTATAGCAGTGACCATTTCACGATATATGGAAGTCAAACCATAATGCTGTACACCTTAAACTTATACCGTAAGTTTAAACAAAAATAAAATAGAACTCATTAAATAAGAACCTTAAATAAAATACAACTTCTAGGATTAAAAATTAGAATTTATAAGTACAATTGATTCAGTGGGCAAATTTAACAGCTGATTAAACACAGCTGTAGAGAGCATTAGTCTATTATGAATGTGTTCAGAATGCAATCTGGAGAGACAAAAAATATGGAAGAGAAGTCAAAAGAAATGAAGGACACGGTGTGAAGGTTTAACTCCAGTTTCATAAATGAACAAAGAAATGTAGAGCAAAACAAACATTTGAAAAGTTGACAAAGAATTTTCCCAACCCAAAGAAAGATAACGATCTACAGATTTAAGAAAGCCCTTTATCTCACAATTGAAAAAACATGGGATTCCCCTCTGGCATCAGTCACTCCTGTTTTACGCATCTAAATTGAAATCTTCTTTGGATTAATCTAACTGGTAGAACCTAGGTCACATGTCCACCGAGCTGGGAAAGCAGATTTTCTAAGACACACTTATATTACGTGAAATTACCAAATGTAAGGACAATGTTCAAAAATGTTGGACAGTCACTCATAGGACAAATGCCTGCAACAGAGCTATTCAGCACATGTTCAGACCTCCACAGTTTTCCTTTTGCACTCCCTTCCTTCAAGAGCACATGACTCTTAGAGGCTCTACTCAGTATAATTCATGTAAATTGACCTAATCAGGACCTATTAATCTATGGACGTCTAGACACGACTATTCTAGCTATTGTACAATTCCCATAAACTCTTCCAATCTTACTTCAAATCCAGCTTACCTAAATCTCAGCACTTCACCCCTCTGCCCTTTCCAGATTCCCATCTCTCCTTTGGACTTCTCCCCTCCCCCCGCCCGGAAATATCATCTTGCTATTTCGAGGTATAATATCCGAGAGTTCTCCCTGTCTCTGGTCTGATTCTGTTTTCATATTTAACTGACTCTTTATTTATATTTAACTTCAGTCGAATATGTCTTCCCTCTCTCTCCCTCATTCCTTCCTTCCTTTCCATAACTGTCATCTTCTTGCAGCTTTATAGTTGAGCACCTACACCATGACCAATTTCTGATGTGCCTTTGACTCTGGGTTCTCTTCCTTTCAATTCGTTTTGCATATCCATGCCTGGTGAGTTTCCATTTTCAATTTTTTAAAGGGCGTAACTTCATTCCTGAAATCTCTCGGTCTCCTACTAACCTGTTTTACCTTCCGATACTTCCGGGAGGGCAGACTCCAGCTCTCTTGGCTCCTTAAATGCCTCAGTTTTCCTGTCACACTTAGCTCATACATTTTCTTGTACCAAAGATCACTCCGCCCCCAGACTTTTGTCTTAATCTCCCTTCAAAGTGCAGCGCAAACCCCATCCCCTCCTGAAAGCCTGCCTCTCTGATGGCTCCCTGTGAATCTGCGAAGCTCAGCACTGTCCACCGCCCCCTCACACCTGGCACAGCTACTTTTCACTGTTTTCTTTCATAAAAAGTGAAGTTCTTTTATTCCACAAGACTATATGACAGGAACTTCACGTTCAAAACCCTATCTGACCCCTTGTTCCTAATGCACAGCCTAGCGCAGAAGTAGAGTTCAGTCCGGGTTGGTTGAATGGAGGAATGAATTAAATAACGAATTAACAAATGCTTGCTCTGGTACTGAAACTCGAATTGTAAGAAAGGTCCACACATGTGAGGAACTTGAGGTAGGCGGTTGAAAGTCAGTGGCTATCCTCAGGCAAGGAGAAAATCAGTGGGAAGGCCCAGTTTCAGCTGAGAGACCAGTGGTAGGCAACTTCCTCTACGCCTGATTTCTCCTCTTAATTTTCAGTCTGCGGGCGGCGAGGTGGACTGTTTCACTGTGTTAGACTGTGTTGGGTTAAGCAGAGTATTCCAATCTTAGAATAGAGGTGGTTGCCGTCACTGGCCTTCACATTGTGTTATCTCTAGCAGGAGCCTGCAGACCGAATTCCAACAGTAAACAGATTGAAACGAAGTTTGGATTTATATCTACTTCCTACGCTTGATCCTCCAACAAAGCCAGCATGGAAACTTTCCTTTTCAAAGAAAAAAGCAAAACAATGGATCGCGAGGCCCTATAGCTCAGGGGTTAGAGCACTGGTCTTGTAAACCAGGGGTCGCGAGTTCAAATCTCGCTGGGGCCTTCCTGTTCTTTCTTATTGTTTTAAATCTATCTCAATCCTGGACCCCTCTCTGTCCAGTAACTTTAACCCTCACCGAAATTCAGTGCTTTAGATCTTCTCGCCGCAGGCCGAATAACCCTAAAAAACGTAGAGCAGAAACACCTCCTCATATGTGCTACTGCGCAAGTGCGGCTCTGCTATGTGGATTGTGGCGGAGGCCATTACAAGCTGTGGGAAGCGCTGCCTGCTCCGCGGGCGCCCAGGCTCTGCTGACCCGCCGCGAGAGCCCTCTCTGAGGGCGGCGAGAGGCGGTGCGGGGCTAATGGCGGTTGGGGAAAAGAATGGGACCTAGCCCTCTGCTCAGGCTTGGACCCCAGAACAAGCTCCGCTCCCTAAAGGGAAGAAGCCGTCCGGGTTAGGGGTTCTGGAGAGAGTAGGCAGCCTAGCAAGGTGTCCCTTTTCAGTGGGTTTTCGAACACCTTCAGCATGCCAGCGCGAAAAGTAAAATGAGGCTTGGGTCACTAAGTTTGTTATCGACTCCAAGGAACTATGTCTTCCTCTTTTAAAAACCCTGAAATATCTTCTCCAGAAGTCCCTTCTCAGAGAAACATCGGGCTTACCCGTACGTGCTATATTCCACATCCTCTCCCTCCCCGAGTCTGTGCGTGTGTAAACGGAAGAGAGCCGCAGCTCGCCCGTGCAGCCACGCCTGGACTGGGAGGCGAGGACAGGAAGGGAGGAAACTGGAACGGGCGCAGGCTGAAGCCCCGAGGTCCGCCCTCTGCCTGGCTAGCGGCTGCGTGGTTAGAATCGCCTCGCCCACCGCCACAGCCAACGGCCCACGGGCGAGCAAATGCCCCCGCCCCGGGCGGCCACGTGACGCCAGGCACCTGCGGGTGCCTGTGAAGAGCCCACAGGTTGGCCTTGTTTTGGAAGCCCCTCGGTGAAAGAGGAGAACCTGTTTCCAGAAGGGTTGTCCCCAGAACTGCGGAAGCAGGACTTTTCTCACAGGCTGGTTTTGTGACTCTCAAGTGTCCGCTCGCTGGTGGAGGATCGTTTCCCAGGCGCCTGTTTATGGGTGTCCTGAATAGGTGACTCTAGAGAGGTGTTCCCCGCGTCCCCTTCGATAGCTCAGCTGGTAGAGCGGAGGACTGTAGTGCTGCTTCCTATGCGGTCATCCTTAGGTCGCTGGTTCGATTCCGGCTCGAAGGAGGAACTCCAGTTTTGGTGGCTCCTACTCACCCAGGGGTCCGTCGCTCTCTTGTTTCTTTGGGGGCCTTTGGGAGTTGCTTTCTCCAGACCTTATCCCTGTCCCAGAGAAAGAGTTTGAGCTTCACCAAGCAGGTGTGAACAAATGGATCCTGTTGGGCATAGATTCTAATGAGGAGGCGACTGTGCGCCAACTTTATCAGCCAATTGGATGGGGCTGGGTTACTTTTCTCTCAGTTGTATTCTTTTGGCTTCTATTTGATCCTAGATCGCTGCCTGAAGTCCATGGTTCAGAAACCGAAGACCACTGGTTGGTACACAGGTACATTGTCTCTAAACGCTGTGTGCACATATCTGGTCCCTGCAGCCTGAGAGGCTCCAATTTGCAAAGGAGATCCCCTAAACTGTGATCCTCGTCCCGAGTGTTCGTCCGCACTCTATATACACATCCATTCGGGGCGGGGTGCTTACAAGGCAGTTTTTATACTTTTACAAAAAAGATTTTGAGCCAGAGCAGGAAACTGCAACAGGATTGGACGTGAGGAGGGCTGAGCCAGGAAGAGAGAATTCCAGACCCAGGAAAAAGGGAAACAAAGGTGGGGAGGTGGGAAAGTCTCCTTCCCGGGCCTGGACTATCTCGACAAGCGCGATTCCCGCACCTCCCAGGGACCCTGGTTCCCCGTATGTTGATGCCCACCATTTCCTGCCCCTAGGGTGGTAGGCTTGCGCCAGGTAGCGGCCCCGCGTCCGGCCTGGGGCTCAGAACTCTACAGCCTTGCAGGCGAGGATGCCTCGGTCCCCCGGGCCCCGCCAGGCTCCCTCCAACACGCGGCCCAGAATCTGAAAAGTCGCCTCTCCTCACCCTATCCGGCTTCTGGAGGGCTCCACAACGTGGATCGGGGAGAATAAGCTGGAATAGTACCCGTCTCAGGTTTCAAAAGGGTGAGACTTTGTGAAGATGGGAGAAAGGGCTGCAAGGCAAAAGGTAAGTGTCGTAACGTACAGCAGAACTCGTGAGTGGCCTGGTGGCCAACTGTGAATGGAAACGTAGTGTTCAGAGGAAACATGGGCGAGAACTTGCTGTCGTGGCTCGTTGGTCTAGGGGTATGATTCTCGCTTTGGGTGCGAGAGGTCCCGGGTTCAAATCCCGGACGAGCCCAAGCTTTTGCTTTTTCTCCTGCCTTCCAAACTACGCCAAAGTTTAGTTCTGTACAAACTCTCTCACTCTCCGAATGTCCTGCAAAAGAAAAGTGCACTGAACGAACACGTGCCAAATGGGGCTGATGAACTGTGCGGGAAGAAACTGCCCGGTCTCCCGGACTCTTGGCCAGGGGACACCTCCGAGGGACCGCCGCGCTCCGGGCGGGGGGCGGGGGGGCGGTGTGCTAAGGCCCGCTGTCCCTCGAGGCCGCTGCCGCTTTGGGGCTCGGGTCTCCAGGCCCTCTCCTTTCCCAGGCAGGGACTTGCCAGCGGCTCCTGCTCCAGAGGCATGTCCGGGACGGAAGGGCCCCTCTGAGAAACAGGGCGCGGTCCCAACTGCACAGAGACTCCACCGCCACCCTCCTCCCCGCCCCCTTTCCGCGGCATCCCCCGCCCGGCTGTGTAGCCGTGTACACAATCGCAAGCTGACCCCACCCAGGATCGAAAACAGGATTCAAAAGAACGTCTTTGCGACTTCTTACCAGCTCCCTATCATCAAACAAGGGGGGGAAGAAGCCAGAGAGAAAAACTCTTTCCACCGCCCTGCGCGTTTCTGCAGCCTTGTTCCGAGGCCGAGGTGGGTTCACATTCCTCTCTTCCTCCTTGTCAGTAGTTTTACCAAGAGCGTTTTGGCCAGAGGAGCCCCTTCTTAGCAGAGTCAGTATGGGGCTCTTTGGGGAGGCTTTTGCGGAATCGGGTTGGAGCTGCTGAGGAATGGGAAGGAAGGTAAAAATACTGTTCTCATGAGTTGGCGAGTCTACATTCCCACCCTGAGGTTTACTTCCCGCAGCTGAGCAGAGATGGCAGCATGACAGCCTGTTGCCTAGAAAGTAGGCTCAGAGGGGGTGCACAGAATTGGCTGACAGTGGACAGCATGGAGGCCGGGGTCGGGGTTGGGGGTTGGGGTGCAGGAAGCCTGCACTTGCTCAAACCTAAGGATTCTTTACCTGGTATCCAGGTTGATCGCCAAACTGATGAAGCAGGCCTTATCCTTGTTTTGTGTGTGTGTGTGGGGGGGGGGATTTGTTTGTTTGTTTGTTTTTGTTTTTGTTTTTTTCCAGCATAACGGGCACTTGAGACTGATGTTTTCATTTTCTGGTTACTCACTTCTGTCTCCTTACCCTTAACCCCCTCAGCCAGTGTTGTGAAATTCTTGGAGACATTGCAAACAACCTCTAACCCAAACTTTCTTACTAGAATGTTGGGATCCTGAGCCTTCCTACTCTGAGACAGCATGTCATATGGTAACACATGGTAGCACATAGGCAAAACAGAGCATCTTATTTAGGAAGGACAGTAAAAACAACTTCAGCATCATTCCAGGGACTAAGGAAATAAATGAGGCAAGACCCTCCATCAGTGTCCTTAAAAACCCTATAATCAAGTCGTAAACGTAATCACTAGAAGCCCAAGTGACATAATTACCTGCATAGCACTGGTCAACTTCCCAGAAGCAGCCTCAGGTATTCAATGAGCTCCTCAACTATACAGTTACTAACTAGTTTGTGCAGGACAATTTTGTTACACACACTTTATTTTAAGCAACTCCTTTACAGATAAAGGGGGAGTAAAATATTTTTGAAATTCATGGAAATAGTCAATAGGTTTCCCTTAAACAACAACTTTCAGTGACATTTTAAAAATAATCTTTAATTTTCTAGAAATTGCTAGTGTGGAATATGAACGCCGTGCGGTGCATTGGAAAGTTTCTAGGTCCTGAAACACCAGATGTTCCTTGGACAATGCATGTTATCTTTCTCTGTTCCCCAGTTTCCTTATTAGTATAATGAGGGATTGATAGTCCTCCAGGTCTCCCTCTTTCTTATTCTATGACATCTTGGGGCAGCAGGGTGTAAATGACTCTTATATAAAAGAAGGTACTCAAGTAATGTGGAGAAGAGCTCTAGTTTGGCAGAGAAAATGGGGGAAAAAACCATTCCAGGAAAAGATTTCTGGCTCTTGTTGAAAGAGCAGACATCAGGTTTATAAGCAGGCAAAGATAAGAGATTTGTCAAGTTATTGTTGGAAGCATTTGCCCATGCGATTCAGAAATTAACATAGATGGCTAAGAAAGTGGACCAAAGCAGACTAGTGAAACCCCTGGGTAAGAGTTTTCACTTAATCCGTATTTGAACAAGGAGCAATTTCTGTTAATAGTTATTCCAGAAGAACACCTTGAGATACTTGGGAAAGACAATGGGCACACAGCCCCCTGTTTGTTGAGAGTAAATGTGTAATTTTTGTCTTTGAAAATACACAGGCATGCGAGCAAGACTTTGGCTCATTCTCCCTCAGTCATAGTACCCCCCTCGCCGCCCCGTTCCCAGAGACCTGATCCTTCTTTTCATTGGAACTTCATCCTCTTTTAACCATTACTTCTGTTAGTCAATACATTTCATGCTTCTAAACCTAAAAAAAAAAAAAAAAAAAAAGTTACAGTTAAAACAAATTTAGAGATTATTCATTTCTCTCCGTCACCTAATTTTATAATTAGTCTTAAGGACAGAATTAAATATATACACTCTGTGTAAAGGGTAAAGGACACCAGCACTTGAGTCCTTAGAAGAAGAACCCCGGGCTTCCTGTGTCTATGTGCAAGGAAACTAACTAGTGGTATGAATAAGAGACACAAGAAAAATTTCAGGAAGAAGGGAATGAGTTTCAAGTTCAGGCTGTCAGAACATTTTTTAAACATAGGAGTGGGTTTTTCTCAATTAACAATTACTTCACACCTATTAAAATTACTGAAAAAATATAATTCCTTGTTGTAGGTATTTTGAAATACAAATGAGTAAGCACTTAGATGCATTTTAATGAAATAGTCAAAATCCCCTCCCAGCCTTTATTTTCTGTTTCATCATAACCACATTGTGCCAAGCTGAAAAGAAAGGAAAAACAATTGGAACGAAAGCAACCATTCGCCATTCACCTAACTGGTTTTTTGCATTGTCAGCTATGTGGGGGAGGGTGTTACTTCTCCCCCAAGTTGTCAGGTAGAATCCCACAAAGACCACAGGCAAAGAAGGGACCTGGCTGTGTTCAGAGGCCGGAGGCTGCTCCCAGCAACACAGCAGAAAGGTAACATCAGAGGCTGGACTGTTTGTGCGAGTTGATGTTTGACCTGGTGTTCCAGGCCATGGGACTCTGTGTGTGTGTGTGTGTGTGTGTGTGTGTGTGTGTGTGTGTGTATGCTTTAGGTGGTTTATCAGAGAAGGATCCTGTTAATCAAGTCATCTTGATCTCCACACACTGTGGGAGTTTGCTGCTGCTTCACTGTCCAGGATTGCTGACACCACAAGGTATTCCAATGGGCAGTGTCCTCCCCACCAAATGACTAATAACTTAAAAAAATTTTTTTTAATATTTATTCATTTTGAGAGAGAGAGAGAGCAGGCAGAGGAGGGACAAAGAGGGAGAGAGGGTATCCCAAGCAGTTTCCATGCTGCTAGCACAGAGACCAACAATGTGGGCCTTGATCCCATGAACCATGAGATTGTGACCCTGAGCTGAGGCAATATCAAGAGTCAGACACTTAACTGGCTGTGGCTGAGCCACCCAGGCACTCCATCAACAACTTTTTAGAACTCAGTTCTTCTGTGTCTCTTTAAAAAGTGGTATATGACCAATTTACAATAGGCACCATTCTCAAATAGCTGGTTTGCCCACAAAAGGAAAGTGAGGATTAGGGCACCGTGTTAGATGCAGGTAGAGACCCCACTCTGTGGCTCCTTGTCTTGCTGATTCTCTTTGTACCTAATGGACTTTGAACTTTGGGATTTGGCAGAACAATTGTGTGTGTTAGGGACACACCTATCCTTTCCCTTCCAGAGACTTCAGTAACCCTGAAGCACCAGGTACTGAGTTTGTGGCTGTGTGCTACGTCCTTTTCTCGCTTCCCCAGACCTTTTTCCTTTTAGCTCAGACATTGGCTGGGGACGCTGGGAAAAGGGAAGAGGACAGGGGAAAAAACATGAAGCTCAGGCAGGGCTGTCCTCAACACCGCTGAAAAGCCAGTAGTGAAGGTCATCCTTTTCCAGGTTCTCCGTGCTGCCCACTCTTCCTCCTCCTCAAATCCTCAGGCCATTTCAGTACCCAAAACTGTTCTGCCGCTAGGCTCGAAAGCACATGCCCCAGCAGGTGTGAACCACAGACGGCTGTTTTAAGAGTTAATCCTTCTCGGAATTTTGGCATTGGAACAGGGACCAATACCTGAGAAATGAAGGTCTATCCGTGGGCTTTCGGGATCTACCAGTCAGTCAGAAGCAAAGCCTTCCTGAGAACCTTGGAAGCCTTCCTGCTCTAGCTGGGAATCAGGCCCGCCCTGTTCAGTAGCTGTTGCCAAACCCAACCATGTTTTTAAGTCTTAATAGAAGCCAGGAGAGATTGTGTGGTTGGGATTTCCAAAGTGAAATCAGATGGTACATTTCTAGAAGTAATGAGGGATAAAAACAACAACAACAACAACAACAACAAACCGCGAGGAGTCAGTCACTCTTTTAGATACTAAGAATGCAGAGATGAATAAAACCATTTTTCTTCTCTCTAAGGGTTCCATCTAATGGAGTACACAAGAATCATCAAAGGGTGATGGCTAATGGCCTGTTTGCGAACCTAAAGTGAAGTCAGATCCATACTACCCATGTTGAAAGAACTCCAGATCAGCTCGCATGCTTCTCTGAGCATTCCTGAAGTTGCCAGGGGGTGTAAACATGTTTGCCAACTAGCCCCTTTAGCCTACACGGTGAGGCTGCCATTTAGTTCTTTCTCACTCCAGCTCCCTGCGAGAGGTCTGTTGCTGCCCTAAGAGGGGCCCATGCTGCTGAGAATGTCAGAAGATGCCAACACACAGTGTCCTCTTCCTTTCTGATAGAGCCCATGGTCTGACCTGCTGCTGTAGTTCTTGTCCAGACTCGCCTCAAATCTGTCTCAACCTTTCCGGTGAGGAAGGTCGTTTGCCTCCTGCCCCATCCCCTACATCACCTGCGGTCAGCCATGTAGTGAACTTGTTTACACTGGGTTGCTGTGTGCTTCGTGAATCTTAGAGACATTTCATGAAACAACCTTGATTTTTATGAAAGTTTTTATTGTAGAGCTCTCTCTGTAGGCCCCAGGAGAACAGGTCAGAGGAGATGTGAATGAAGCACACCACATTCCTTGCCCAACACTGCTCCATGGCCTTGACATCTTTCTCCTACCTCTCATCATGGCCTTCTCTATGGATGAATCCATCCCTGGAGCATCACAGACTCTGACACAAATAGGCTTCACTCAGGCTGACCCACTAGCTTTTCACCCACACTGGGACCCACCTGAAGTCTAGAGTCAGTTTGGGACCCCTCCTCCATGCTGGCCTCAGCACGGTGTGTCTTGGGCACAGAGAATCCCCCAAAGAAAGACGTGGGCAACTTCTCTTGGGATGGGTGGGACCGTGGAGGGCCTGACGGGATTCAGAGGAGGCGCCACTCATGCTGAGTCTGGAAAGCTGAGTAGATCCTCTCCCCAGAGATGAGGGGTTTGAAGGCTGCCTATACCATTCCCCTGCTGTTTGATCTGGGGGCTTCCTGACTTAAATAACAC